CCTCTTTGTATGTGTATGTGCGTGTGTGTGTATATGTGTGTCTGTGTGTTCGCACCTTTTGGCATCCTCAACTCGAGAATCAGAAAAGCTACAAAGCTAAAAATTCGGGAGTGTGTGCCTAACCCCTGTGCAGCCCTTCCGTTCTAATATTATAAATCGCATATGCCTGGGTCCTACGTATGAACGCCTCAAAAAAATATGCAAATTTTTTGGAGGGAAAGCGATCTCAGAAACCAGACAAGATGGAAAACTGAAATTTTAAGGTGATGTTCCCTGTTCATGTACAACCTAAAAATTTCAAACCCAGCTTCCAAGCCAGCGTGGTTCCTACGTAGGGGCACGTGAAAGTTTAACGTCACTGGCATGGAATACCGACACTGATTATCCTGAAGGTCTTGGTATTTTTGGTGTAATTATAATATTATAAGTGAAAGGTATTTTGTTTGCCAACTACTCGGATGGTATTCTTCCTGGAACCTGTTTTCGTGGCGACTGCGCCCTGCGCGATAGTGCGTTGCTTCATCGATGGCGAGTTAGTTATTTCAGGTTTTTAGCACACCGTTGAGTCTTCCAGAAATTATTTATGATTCATTTGATTAGCCAAGACATTACGCTACCCATTCTGTCGTTTCCGAAACCACACTTTCTTAATTTTTTTTTTTTTTTCAAAATTTGCCCTGAAAATACGACTTTGAGGTTTTTAGTCCATTGCTAGGGAAAACTAGAGACTTTATTTTGGCCAGCTAATTTGTGCATATCAATTTGGCACGCTAAGATACAAGAGAAGGTGGTGTTGCAGGGTACAAAGTTGGCTGAAAAGATTAGCCAGAATCAGGTAAAATGCTATTTGTTCAGCTGAAAATAATCATAGAATACTAGGTTGCTGTGATCAGGTGTCTCAATAGGCCGGTAGGAGTGATTTAAGCAAATTTCAGTTATCTGTTGTCCGAATATACATCCTAATGCTTACCAGTTCTCGGGAAATGAATCACTTTTAGCGGTCAAAGTCAAAACGCTCTCCCCATTCATTTACTGTAAAAGTGGAAGGCACTCGGAAGCAATCTGAATACTAGTAAATCCACTCGCTCTCTTTTTCGAGGATTGCTTGAAAGCAATTGATGGTGGGTTTGACTCTCTGGCATACGCCTGTACCAATTTGCTTTCAA